TGAGTTAGAGGGGGAGCCAACATCCCCATGGCAACCACTCTTTTATTTTTTATTTTTTTATGTGCAAGAGCAACAAAAAAAAAATGTAATACATACTAAAGGGGTAATTGGCCTTTTTTTTTTTACACAAAGGCGATAGTATTTTATTGATAAATAGGAAAGATACAAGTATAAAAAATCAAACTAAAGACCTAGAGGATTAGGCAAGTACCTCTACATCGAGGGGTAATTGCTTTTAACCAGTTAAAATGTAGACACGTTTTAAGCCCTAGCCTTTTAAATAATGTTTTTAAGATTTTTGGCAAGACTGTTTGAGCATTACGCAGGGGCGGAGCCACATTGGGACCAGTGTGGTCACGGGCCCCCACTCAATTGTTTTATATTTTAAAAGTAATATACTGTTATGTATTTCTATATGTATATTATTTCAAATACTTTACGTCTTGATATGTACTGACATGTGTTGTGGAGGGCCTATTAAGGCACAAGGAGTTGTTTCAAATTGCCCCTTTGCTCAGCTGGTAGTGGTGCACTCCAGGTGTACATATTTCCTTCATTTATTTTTATATTACTTCATTTACTTAAGTTTACAATGTAAATAAGGAAGTACTCCCCATTTGAATTCAAATAAAAATACTAGAAAATCAAATTCCCACCAAATCAAAATATGAAAAATCGTTTTTAGTGCAAAATACGATTTCGGCTAAAAATGATGGCTCATTAAGTCAATATATATGCTTCATACTAAAATCCCATAAAATCAAGTTTTCTTATTTGATGTGTAAGGAATAAAAGCCGCCAAAAATTATCTTGAGAAAATGATTATCCAGAAAAACCATTTTTCATACTTAGTCAATATTTTTACATAAAATATTTTTTCATGTATGATAAGAATGCATGAAGCGACGTCCTAAGGTTTTTTAAAGTTTGTGAAATTTGGATTATTTTTCTTTCTATTGGGTTTAATGGGGGGAAAAGCTTTAAAGATATTTGCTAAATCGCTACTCTTTGTCTATCTCTTGCAATTTTTCTTGCTCAGAATGTATTTGTCTATCCCTTTGTTGAGGACAATTATGATTGCAACCAATAAGCAATATAATTCTTGACATATGTGATATATATATATACTATTTTCGTATGTATTGTGAGTTCGAATTTTTGATTTTTTATAATTTGTAAGAGGCCCCCACACACATGAAATCCTGGCTTCGCCACTGGTATTACTTATTTAGTACCTACCAAACAGAATCACGACCACCAGTTTGAAAAATTGTAAAAATTTGAGCAAAATAACTCAAACAATGTCGAACAATACTTCATTTGAAGGTTTTTAAACAGTGTTTAACCCTTCATGAAGAAGCTGACGAGGGTTGTTTTGTTTTGTAGTTTATTTTTTTGCCCGCATTGTTATGTCGAGTCTAATGAGAAATTTTTTTTCTTTCTTAATAGTAATTTTATTTTAGGCCTCAAAAGAAAATTGTTGGGTCCGAATAAAAATTTGATTCCCCAAGCAAGCAGTGCCAAATTTTATTTTTTTTTTGAATTATTTATTTATTTATATCTATATGCCATCTTAGAGATCATGCTAGTTACATCCTTCAAATTATATACTAGAATGACCTCACAAATAGAGAGCGCAAAACAGGCTAAAAATGCACCACATTGTTTTCTCATTTTTTTCTTTCTTTTTTGATCTGATACAAAATGCACCACATTGTTAATAGCCTCCCTAAAAGTATGACGAAACTGTGAATGACAAAGTGGTTGAACACGGCTCCAATATCTCCAGAGGTGTCCCTAAAAGTATATGTCTTGGCCTGATGCTGTTATTTTGCTGAGAAGCGTATATTTCTGGTCATCCTCAAAGAGTCACACTAGGGAACTTGCAAGATCCATGACCTGCTTAAATTATAAATCAAAAGTAAAAACCCAGAAGAAAAAAAATCGAGAGGACTAATTAGTCACCTATAGGACGAGTGCATGGGTAAATGATGTTAATCCCTTGAGCTATAAGTCCCTTATAAATTAATCAGATTTTCATATTAGCTAGTCTTTGTATAATTTTACACGAAATAAAGTGTACGTATTTTCTAAACAATTTTAGGACATCTATTTCTTTGATTAGTTAGTACTACTACATACAAATTCAATAATACTAGAGACGTTAACTTTTGAACAACAACTAATGTAGCAATTTTTTATTTGATGTGAATAAATAAAACCTAGAATGAATACCACGTCAATTGACGCTCAAAAATTATTCTCTCTAGTATTACTCATAGAAAACAAATTTAGTGATTGCTAAAACTAAAACATCTTCCATTCCAGTATTGCAGAGAAAGAAAACTTACTGGGATCCACAGTGGTTTGCTCTGCCAGCCCATTGAAATAGCAAGTAGCTCCATGGCTCCTGAACTTGGCCCAGTAGGAACTGAAGGCATAGCTCGCATGCAAAATCTCTGAAACTGGTTCATAGCACTCCTTCCCTGGTGAAAGCGCATCACACGTACCATTTCCTGCAGCACTACTATTGCACAAATTGTTTAACGCCGAACTCAGCTCATCATTATTTACACCCTTAGCCACCACACACCACACGCTGCCCTTGTAAGGACTGTTATTATTCGCTTCGGGCAAGGGCTCGTAGTCCTCCAATGGCCGTTTTCCTGTAATCGAGGTCTTAAATATCAATGTTAACAAAAATACCAAAATTCCGAAAATGCAGGTTTAGCGAAAGAACGAGTTTTGTTATTTGTATCATCTCAATTGACTATCTAGTGTATCATCTTTCTAATTAAATATGTTTTGGTTATATATTAGAGAGAGAGAGAGAGAGAGAGAGAGAGAGAGAGAGAGAGAGAGAGAGATTTTACACTCAACAGTCAATTAAGATGGTACAAATAATTTTACTTCGATATAAATAGAAATTATATGAAAATTCTAAGTAAAATCATGCGATAAATGAACATATTTTAGGAGCTTGCCTGTCAAGTCAATGTCATAAATGGGAGTTCCATCAGCATGCAACAAGCCCCAATGCCTCTCTGTCCCTGGCCCTGTCTTTTGATTTTCATCAAACAATGAAAATATGAACGTAGGTATGACTACACCAGGCCTCGCTGGTGTCCCAAGAGGTGGCTTAGCGACCATTCTATGTATCAAATTTCGGTTATATGTGGCTGCATTATGTATATTAGCACCAGGCTGTTCGATGTCACCGGAATTAGGCCAGCCAGTCTCCGTGATCAAGAGCCGGATGTTCGGGTACCCTAGCTTGGCCATGGCATAGATCAATGAGTCAAGCATTTGGTCTAGGAGGTTAGTGTAGATCAACCCGCTTCCCGGGTCAGTGTAGTAGTCAGTATTGTTGTTTCCTCTAAATAATGCAAAGTCTAGACTAATGTTAGTGGTGTTTGAAGACCATGGAAAAAAAGGGTACACATCAATGAACATAAAGGAGTTGGTCCGGTTCAAAAATCTTAGCATTGGGGCCATGACCGAATTGGAGATATCAGGCCTAAACATGCTGTTTGATGGTGGGAATGTTGATTGTAACACATCCATGGCTAATGGGGTACCTACTTTGATGTTTGTGATATTTTGGGCTTTGAGGGAAGACTTAATTTTAGTCATGGCAGGGACAAGATCAAGCCACATTTGGCGATCTTGGTCCGAGGAGTTGTAGCTAAGGACTTCATTGCCTACAAGGAGATACCGGATCATGGTCTGGGGGTAATAGGGAAGGACATTGTTTCGAACCCATTCATCGGCTTTGGCTTGGTTTGATGCAATGGTTGAGATTTCACTGTTTGGGACCATAATTGAGACTTGCAGATTGGTGCCAGACAGGAGGTTTAAGATTTCCGGGTTGGCATCGTAGAGCTTCACACGCCCTGCATTCATGGACTTGATGAGCTCAATGGAGCTGTTTGGGGATGGTAGATTGTTGCCAAGCTGCCCATAGTTTATGCCAATTTTGCTTGAGATCTCTGCAACTGTCAAGTGGAAACAAAAAAGGAGTTAGTGGAGACATGAAAAAGGGGATGCATACCTATACCAAGTAGCAAAGTGATGATTTTAACTCTATGGCCTCACAAACTTACATGAAAGACCAAGGAGAGGGAAGAGAAAGAAAACCAGAGATCCCATTTGATCTCTTGCTGCTTTGATCGTTACAGAGCTGGGATATATGTTTTTGAAGCATAGAGCTCTCTCACATGTATATATATATATATATATCTCGAGACCCCAAAGGGGAGACAGAATGCACAAGGTGTGAGTATGTTAAAATAGAACTGAGATTAGATCATTTAAATGTCCATGCAAGAAGTTCTATTTTGGCAAATTATTACCTGAGTGATCTTTTGTGAGGGTGCGCAAAAGAAATCTTGAAATCTATTGTTTAATATGTGGTCAAAGAAAGGAGCAAAGCATAGAAACAAGTGATCAAGAGTAGTATTGATTTTCATATAACAGGCAAAGATTGTGATATACAAGCAAGCATATAGGCGATTTGGAGCCTTCTTGGGTTCCATTAATTTTCTCTTTCTTTCATTATACATACAAATCATTTCAAATTGGATCACATACAAAGCTAAACTTAAGTTAGCACTAGTGTGGATTAGGGAATTAATTTTACGTATATACTTGTGCGAATTAACGACTCGTGCATTGGAGTGCCTTCAGCCGGTGCCAAGGTTCTTAGGAAGCTTATCTCCTTTACATATTTTAGCATCATCTGCCAAATTACGTTAGTGACTAAAGGCTACTTTAAGTTAGACTTCATTTTTGGACATCAATAAATTGAAATAACGTTTAATTTATCACTACATTCAATTTGGAAATTAGACTAACTCAATTCTACAGACTGAAACTGGCATTAGAAAATGTTTTCCTGTTGAAGAAGCTAGCTTAAAGTAATTTTTTAAGCTTCTGACCGAAAGAAAAAAAATATTTTCAAGTTTTGGCAAGAAGCTGACTATGCCTAAACTGGCGCCAATGGTGTTTGTTCAGGGAAGCTTCCAACCGCCAGAATGGAGGCATCGGAAAGTAAAGTCAAAGAATTAGCAAACGAAAATGGATAATGGTCGAATGATTTGGTGTTAAGTCCACACGTTATCACCTAATTAACCAAAGAAACCAGACGCATCTCTCACTAACTCTAACCCAAAAATGGTTCTGCTGCAGCAAACCAGGCTAGCTTTCTTTCTAGCACTCTGTGTACTCTTCCTCAGCAGCAGCACAGCGGAAGATGACGCCGCGGTGATGTTGAAGCTTGCAGAAGGCCGGAAGAACACACCCAAAGACTGGTCAACAGGCAAAACCTACTGCGACTGGGAGGGCATCGAATGTGTCGGAAACAGAGTCGCCACCGTCAACTTATCCTCCATGTCTCTCTCTGGCTCTCTCCCTTCAAATCTCAACTCTCTCACTCAGCTCACCACCCTCTCACTCCAAAGCAACTCTCTTTCTGGCTCCTTTCCTTCTTTAGCCAACCTCTCTGCTCTCCAACAAATCTTTCTGGACACCAACAATTTCACTTCCATTCCTTCTGGATGTTTTCAAGGCCTCTCAAGCTTGCAGGTTTTGAGCATGAGCCAAAACATCAATCTTGATCCATGGGTTTTCCCCACTGAGCTCATTCAAGCTTCAAGCTTGGTCACTTTAGCTGCAGGTAATGCAAACTTATATGGGTCTTTGCCTGATATCTTTGCGGAAACAGAGTCACCTCCATCAACTTATCCTCCATGTCTCTCTCTGGCTCTCTCCCTTCAAATCTCAACTCTCTCACTCAGCTCACCACCCTCTCACTCCAAAGCAACTCTCTTTCTGGCCCATTTCCTTCTTTAGCCAACCTCTCTTCTCTCCAAGAAATCTATCTGGACACAAACAATTTCACTTCCATTCCTTCTGGGTGTTTTCAAGGCCTCTCAAGCTTGAAGGTTTTGAGCATGAGCCAAAACATCTATCTTGATCCGTGGTTTTTCCCCACTGAGCTCATTCAAGCTTCAAGCTTGGTCACTTTAGCTGCAGGTAATGCAAACTTATATGGGTCTTTGCCTGATATCTTTGATTCCTTTCCAAACTTGCAAAATCTGAGGCTTTCTTACAATAATTTTTCTGGGTTTTTGCCCAAAAGCTTTTCTGGATCTGGGATTCAAAACCTCTGGCTTAACAATCAGCAATTTGGGTTATCTGGTACGATTGAAGTTTTATCAAACATGACCCAGTTAAACCAGGTTTGGCTCCATAAGAACCTATTCACTGGTCCGATCCCAGACATCTCAAAGTGTGAAACTTTGTTTGATCTTCAGCTTCGTGATAACCAGTTAACTGGCATTGTGCCAGCCACATTGATGTCCTCAACTGCCTTGCAAAACGTTTCTTTGGACAATAACAAGCTTCAGGGTCCTCTGCCTGTGTTTGGGTCCAATGTGAAAAAAGCCACATTTGATGGTACTAATAGCTTCTGCCAAACCAAACCAGGACCTTGTGATCCGCAGGTCAACACTCTGCTTGAGGTTGCAGGGGCTTTGGGGTACCCAATTTTGCTTACTGAGTCTTGGGAAGGAAACAATGCTTGCGATGGATGGAGCTTCATTGTTTGTGATACGCAAGGAAAGGTTATCACTGTGAATTTTGAGAACAAGCATTTCACTGGGATCATTTCGCCTGCTTTTGCCAATTTGACATCTTTGAAAAATTTGGTGTTGAAGAATAACAATTTGACCGGGTCGATACCGGCTAACTTGTTAACCTTGACGCAGCTTCAGCTTCTTGATGTTTCCAATAACAATCTTTCTGGGGAAATTCCGCAATTCCCATATACGGTGAAGTTAATTACAACAGGCAATGTCTTGATCGGGACTACTCCCAGCTCTGGAGGTGGAGGAGGACCTCCATCCGGGTCTGGTTCGAATGGAACTACACCCAATGGGAATCCGGCTCCGGCTTCGGGTGGTTCTTCAGTGTCTCCTGGTATGATTGCTGGTATAGTTA